ACTGACGGATGGATCGATTCGCGGTGGAGGGATATGAATAGAAACGCTTCATTCTGCTGTTAATAGCGAGGGGGCCCTAATGAAGTCATCGATTATTAATCATGCTCCCATCTGCATAGATTGTCCCGAACCCCCTCTCCCATCCTGTCCGTTCCTTCCCGATTGAAGTACCTCGTAAAGTGGTGGTGGTGTTTCCATACCCCAAACACACCTGTATGTACTGGGACGAATGAAAAACAGGTAATAGTGATTTCATCATGGGACCTATTCCTAACAAATAACATTTTATTATTTGATCGGGACAATCTTTAAGGACATTAAATACAGTCGAAAGACCAATAGACTGATAGACAGTTGATAGGTAGATAGGTGAACTCCAAGTGGACCCAAAATTCGGAACCTAAATTCATGAATAAAAATCCAAAATCATTTAAATAAATTCATCAAAAAAGACAAATTTCTCGAAAAATCCAATTTTTGCTTATTTCTGAGCGTTTTTTCAATCGAAAAAAGAACTTTCTAGATCTGGATCTTGCGTCTGGAATCCGCCTTGTCAGAGCCTACCAGTAAGGATATTTCCTTCTCCTGCCTAGAGCTTAGACATCCTCTCCTAGACTACTCTAATTTGCCGTCGTCCCCCCTAGTCGTAGATCTCCAGCTTTCAGCTATTTCAGTATTACAGTATCCAAAACGGATGTATTGACTCATCCTTTCAATCATGGGTAAGCTCCTTGCTTAATATTCCCGAACACGCGTCAATCTGCAGGCATATTACAAAAAGAAGTAAAACTGCCGAGAGATTATTTTTAGCCGCAGAGCAATCCCCCCTCCTCAGCTTATCAATTCGTAATTATGGTGTGTTATCATTCATCAAATTACTATCCATGATAGGAAATTATCACTAATTACTATCTATTCTAATTTATCTCAAATATCTTCGTTATATTACATCTAATTCTTCCGCCTTCCTGTCCCAAGTCTTCATACTGATTCTTAGAGATGCCGGTATGTTATCAATGTGTCAAAAACTGCAAAGGAATTCTTGTAACAAGGGCTATAAAGCCTTTTTTCGACATTTTTTCCCTGTTTCTCGTCCATTATACGGAATGGGCGATTCTGATAAGAAAACGCAACACAAGTCATCACAGTAGGCCACCGCGACAGTTTTCCGACAAGGGATCCTAAAGACGGCGAGGGCGATAACCGGTTTTCAGAATCCTTCGTGACTCAGTCAGTCAACGAAGAGGAAAGGAGGGCCGCCGTTCAGCTCTATCCCATACGAATCGCATGTGAATAGCATGAGGGAACACGGGCGTTGTTGCGAAGGTCGCAGCAGCTCTGCGGATTCGATGCAGGGAGGGCTTTCGATGAAAGAGCGGAGAATAGCAGAACGCAGACCGAAAAGGCGCACGACGGCGGACGTTGCTGACGATCGACGACGATGGAGGAGGAAAATACCCCCGGAGAACAGAGGACACAACACCACCAACACCACGGAGGAACTGGTTGATTACAGCCATTACAGTCAAATCCACAGATCCAGACCCAGATGTACCTGCATTGCCCTTGGCAGATTTTTCGGTCTTGTTTTAAAGTAAGTCAGAAACGGACCGCCGAGGGAAAAAGAAGTGCAACCTGCAGCTGTGTGCAATAGCGGAAGCCTGCAAAGTGCTCAAAATCGAAGTGGACAAGCTTCGTCAATAGACTGGGCCTAAGGAGCTCCCTGTAAATAGGAAATGATTGGCACCTCATTTTGCTGGATCACACCTTTAGATGAATCTTTTTAGCTTTCCACTAAAAATTTCAATCCCAATCAAGCGCAAATCCCCTCCCAAGTTTGTTTTCAAAAGCGATTAGCTCCTTATCCCTTGGTCGCTGGAATTCAGCTCTAAGCTTAAGAAAGATTAGAGGCAGAGCGAGCTACCTCCAGCATTTTTTCAGGACCTTTTGGAGAATTCTTGCTGTCTTCCAATTTTCATGGACCAGAAATTCAGGACCTTGGGTTTCCTGGGCTGCTCTCAAGAAAACCCTGATAAACCGGTAAAGTTGTTCCGGCTACTACAGGAAACCTTCCGGTCAAGCTGAATCACACTCCCTGTGGCTGTACAGGACTTAGTTCGGAGGGGGGGATGGGGCAGTGCTGTTGGGACGACGGGGTTCTTTTTCAGTGGCCTGAATCAATTCTTTCGAATCTAGAAAGCATGGCGATCTATGATGCTCCCCAAAGTGGCGACTAGGCCCCCTGTATTAGCTTCATTCAATATCCTCCGCTGAAAAGGAAACAGGTGTTTGTTTGTTGTGTCTATCGATTGGGCATTGGGCTTTATTGTGTTCGTCGTGACCGTTTGGCTGCCCAATTGGGAACGATCGGGGTATATTTCGGCCCGACAAGGTCATACATAACCTCTGGCACCTTGGCACTTCTTATGCGGACATGTGTTAGAAGTCCGGAAATAGTTTTCTCTCTTATCTCTTCTATGAGGTCACCCACAACACTACAGGTCATCATACCTGCCCATCCTGACTCAACCCTTTGGGTGACTAATACTATTCGACGTATTTCCCAAACCTCCGTCAGCTTTTTCCGTCAGCGTAGCTGCTCCGCCACTTCGAGTATCATGTGTAGCCGGCTGCTCGTTCACGTGCTGTCGACGTGAAGTGAGAGCGAAGGGCCCCGCCTCTGTGCCCTCCCCGTCGACACTCAGTGGCGGTTCTGCGCCGTCCCCAGGAGCGCTGCTCCCCGCTCTCTTGCAGCCTCATCTACGGTTCTCTATATGGCCCTATAAGTCAACTGTTGCAACAGGTCCTCATTAATTTTTCTGCAAATTGTGGGTTCCGATAGGTTCTATAAGCGGCACAGTGAGTGCTAAAATTGGCTCAAATTGATTGCCACCCGTATTGTGTCGTTTCGATATAAATCGATTACGGGCGACCTCCATCGAAGGCAATCCTGTTTCCGATCATATTGAATCGCTTGGGAAGTACTGGCGTCCCTAACTGTTCAGTGTTTAAAGTTCTCGAAGCCGGGGGGAACTTCCTGTGGGGCCCTCCATTTTTCCTTTTCCTCCCTCGAACTCCCTCTCTACCGCTTCCTTAGCCTTGAAGATTAGCTCCTAGAACCGGTAGGATTCCTCCCATATGGGTTGAACTTACCTATCTGATTTTTCATCTGTACTCAGTAGTGTTTTTCTCGTCTTCCCATCGTTTTCTTTAGTAATAAAGCGACGTGGTCTCGATGGTGACAAGCGAAAACATAAAGAACACGTTCTGAAACATCGATACCGCTCCTATGGGGGGTTTCCTAGGGAGACAGGCAGTTTCCAGTGTTTTTATGAATACACTAATTAGTTCTTTAAAGATTCCTTCATTTCCACATTGTGTTGCTTACCCACATGAAGGCGGAGGTGGCGTAGTGATTAGAGGCTCTGCTCGGGATTTGGGCAAAATAGGCGTTCCAATTCAACAACGGCTAAAAAGGTCTTTGATCAGCCAGGAACGAATGTTCACTTTGAAATGTAGAGAAAGTGAGCCCACCTGCTTATCAGAGTTGTTGGGTGATCACCTGGATTCAAACACATCTGTAATTTCAAGTAGAAGTCGAACTGCACGGCGTATCCTAGGTCGATGGTGTTTGAACCGCATAGTTTCTTCTAGGGTTTTTTGCTGATCTATGTCACGGATATGTATCTGGGGTTCTAATCTGACTAGCCTCCTTCGAAATCTGTATTTACATTTGTTCTTAACAGTTTTTAGGCCCCATAGGGCTAGCTCATTTCATCGTCTTCGGTTGTCGTCGCTGAAACAGAAATGATCGTTCTTTGACGTCCTATGAAACACACAAAGCACTCGCGTTTTTCCCTCCCATGGACTACGTGCCGCCTTAAAAGGGCATACTGCACAGGGGTTGCCCTTTTTGTGTCATGATCAAAATTCTGACAACTACCCCCCACATGCATACACAATCAACGACGATATCAGGGTGTTATCACTGTAAGCCCCCTCCACCTCCTACATTCCCCCACAAGGTCCACCATTTGAGCTTTAGTGTTAGAAGGTGTTCCGTACTTTTAAAAGGACGCGGCGCGTCTCCACATTGGCTGTGGCTCGCGGCGGGGGCAATACACATTTAGGCGCACCCACGTGTCATCGGGGAAAAAAACCTTCACACTCTCACACACACACTCACACACATGACCACCCATCTGCCGCTTCCCTCCCTCGAACACTGGCGTTCATGTATATAAGTCGAGCTCAGAGACGAGCTCATCACACTGTTCCTTGGGACTATCCATTAACCCTCCCTGGCCATGGCTCACTAAGCGCCTAAGCTGTAAACAATTCGCTTCTATTCTCCTTCATCTCCGATCCCATCTGTTTTCTGATTTTCTTTTGGAATCTCAAATTATGTTTGTAAAAGTCATTAGCCGTCGATACTAATCTCATTATTCCGCTAGGTTGCCATTCCCGAGCCTTAGAGTTAGGGTTTGGTGGCCCCCCAAAGTGAATTTTGATTCCTGGGTTGATCTCTAAGTTGTCTTGGCTCCATGGATGCCGAAGAGTAATGGAAAGGGTTGTCAGTCCTGTCACTTTTTTCTGATGAGTTTTCCGACCATAGAACTTATGCGGTAGGGTTGAAACAGGTTCTGATACCGAACCCTAACTTCTACCAGGTACGGGTGTAGATGGCCTTGGTCACCTCAGGAAGAGGGGAGTGAAGGGGACGGGTTCGTAGTTGTTTGATGACAATGATGACAATCAGTTTAACGATGTGCCATGAGCGTTTTTTTCGAGTTGCTTCTCCTCAATCGCGCAATATTCGTTCCGGGCGACGGCCCAGAGATTCTGTTGGCACGCAACATTTCCGAAATTGTCTCCTCTTTACTTTCGAATACTCATTAAACTTACTTTCGAACGTGGTTTCTGATTTCTCTCGCCCTTATCGTATTCGCTTTTTTCTACGCCAGTGTCAGCTGTCAGCTTTATCGCTATCATTCCAGAACATGTCGATTTCGTTTCGTGTGAATCCGGAATATGCCAAGATCACCGAAATTGTTCCGGGTCTATTCATATGCGGTGTAAGTTCGTTGACGAATGAGGAAATGAAGAAAAACAAGATCACCCACATCATCAACGCCACCACGGAAGTACCCAATCTACGTAGTCTTGGCGATATTCAACGCACGAAACTGTGGCTCGAAGACACCCCACAAACCTATATTTATCCCCATTTGGAGTTACAAAGTGACCAGGTATGCTTGGAATTCCCCTCCATCGTATCCCCACATTATTATCGTTGACTACCTCATCAAATTCCAGATTCAAGCTATCATAGCTGACGGAGGTAGAGTGCTTGTGCACTGTGTCGCCGGTGTGTCACGATCGGCTTCAATATGCTTGGCTTTCTTGACGAAATATAGGTAGGCAGCCGGTGACAGCTGGTTTACCGTAACGTTCAGAAGATGCACTTACTTGGTTTAGGTGTCGGTGTTTACGTGACGCTTATCATCTAATGAAATCAAAACGACCGATGGTCCGTCCGAATCTCGGTTTCTGGCGGCAGCTGATCGCATACGAACAGGTTGGTCACACACACACACACACACCTTACCCACCCTACCACCTTTATCTGGGCCAAGATGAAATGCACTCAACATTGGTTCACTCACACCTGCCCGTTTCCTTTCATTGGCAGCTGCCCGAGCGTAACCTCCTGGGTAGTCGGCGTTGCTTTGAATCGTTTCCGCCCGGCTTGCTCTCAACAGAGACTACGTACTAATATTGACGACGATACGGCGTCGACCGACTGTTCCCTCGTGGTTGATGTTGTTTTTGAGCAGTTCGTGGGGTTTCAGCAACCAATCCCGTCCCCCGAGGTTAAAAACGGAACCAATTAATCTTTTCCCCATTGAGATGGATCTTTTCATTTTTGATCAGAACAGTGTTCAGTCGGGAGAGGTCGTCGGTTCAGTGTTCAGATGGTTCGATCGATGTTCGATTTGGTGGTTTACCGCTAACTTTACAACTGAAATGTCACGTCCTAATCATTAAACAGATTGATGACTGATGCTCGTCCAGATGGGGGCTTGATGGGGCACAAAAAAAGGGTCGAGGTATTGTTGGCAGGTTACTCATAGTACACGAAGAGCAATAGACCCAGCTTATCACCCATACGATTAATGAGATTGACCACATCCCATACGAACTCAAACCTCATTGAATGGGCGTTTACTCACTTGGGACCTGACCTTGTTGGAGATAAAATGCTGTCCCGAATCATTGTGGTGGGACAGTATTAATCGAAATGCGGCAATTTGAAAGAAACCCAAAACGGGGCGTATATCAAGGTCAGAAAAGTGGAAAATGATAGCACAGCGTGTGTCCCCGTGTGGCACAGAAACACCCTGCTTTGTTCTTTGGCAACCATCGATGAAACCATCGATACATGGCTATGAATAATCAATGGAATCCTGTTGATTTCAGAATGTCAAGGAAAATTCCGGCAGTGTACGTTTGGTTCGTGACGAAGCTCAACCAGAATGCCTTCTTCCAGACGTGTACCTCTCGATTGCCATTAAACCTCGACCAGTGGTAAGTACCGGAATTCGTTACCGGTTCTCATCCACCCACAGACTAATCGTACCCTCTAAAAAGTCGGTCGTGGTCCAATCCATTCCATATGTATTCAGAGCCCTGCCGACCACGACGCCGAGCGGCAAAGTGATGAGCCGCGAGAACGAAGAGTCTCTGGCATTCGGCCTAAATTCCAGCCCGTACTCGAACCCCTTATTGAGATCACTGAAGCCGTTTGCTGACCGAGTAGTCGTCGTCGTCGGACCATCATCATGATCCGGCAATTGTCTGAATATAGCCGAGCAAGCCGATTACTTCCCATATCGGAAGAGGAGTACCTACTATTTCGTCATCTATCTTCACCACATCAAATTATCTCATTACTAGTTATTTGTGGGCAACTTTTTACATTCAGAAACGGTTCCTCTCTAGCTCTTTGTCTATGTTGTTTATAGTTTTGTCATATTATTAACAAAAAAACAAACAAACCAGAGAGCATACGGACAGTTACGGGTTTACTGCCTTCTCTATGGCGATTATTTCTAGGGTTAATACCATTCATTCACGGGATTTAGCCTACCCTACAAAGCTGGATGGCAAAGCCTCAGGGCTCAGCCATTTCAGTGGTAGGGTTGGCAAAGATTTCTTCTCTTTTCCGTCATAGTTCTCTGCGATAGTGCAATTTTTTATATTATTTGGAATATTTTGTGTATTTCTTCTTCTACCGTTTCTCTACTTCACCTATTCTCTCTACAGATACATGCTACAGTTTGTACTGTGCTAATTGTTGGTATCTCTTAACCGGTTCATTGTTTTGTAAATAGTTGTTGATAAACTGCTCGAACTTTACACTTCAATGTTGTTTTGCAAACGGTAAACAGAATGGGGGCCATTTTGATCCTCACTGAGTCATTTACACATCAAAGTTCTTATTTATTACCTACTGCCTACCTATTTATATCCTATCAGAAAGAAAGTTTTCTTTCATCAAAACACCTGGGAACCCAAACTTTCCCACTCCCACCAAGCGTGTCATCGCAACTGGCCCAAATCTATTGGGTGGTAGAATGTATCTTCCCTTAGGTCTTATTGAAATGTCCCAGGAGCCATGAAATGGAATCCTACTTGAACAAGTAGAAGAAAGAGGGTTTCCTCATCGTTTACTTCTTGAGAGCATTTTGATGGACTTGATTCTCGTTCTGTAAAGTGGTAGTGTCAAAAGGGATGGTACCACAGGGATGGTCCGGGAACGAAACCTGAATCACCCAGACGGACCAAATCGTTCCCTCCTTTATAGGCAGTTAATTGGTGCCTGCCTCTTTTGTTCGCCCGATGGCCTCTGCCTCTGTCTTTGTATAGGCCAAACATACATCCATTAGGTGAAATGAGATTACTCAATGTCAAACTACAGTATCCTCTTTCTATGGACTTTTTGTCTAAATTTTCTATAATTCATATTGAGAGATATCAAAATTCATACTCGTCAACGAAATCATTTTTCATTTGTCATGTACTTCTTTATGTGGGGCGTGGGCGAGGAAGGAATGGATCTGTGCGGGTAATTTTTACTTGTTAGAAAAATCGTTAGCGATGTACCCACATCACATGGTCATCAGGGCGGCTTTGTTCTTCTATAACCACATCATTTTAGTGACATTGTGACGGGAGAAAAGTGACAGGGGAAATTATTCCTTCCGTTTCACTTAGGAACCACTGGGGTGATAAGAAAAGTAACCAAAAATCAAGTAATCGGTAAGACCGTTGTTGTTTTCATATTAAAGTGATGTCATGTCATAGGGATAAACAATCAATGGAAAGGTGGCATTACAAATTGGCACTCAGGTTTTTGATTCTGCTGATGTTCGGCCTCCCAAAAATACCGTATTTTCCAGTTTTTTTAAATTTTACATGCCTTTTTTAAATTTTGCCTTTGCTGTCAATTTTTTTTACTTTCTACATTGACTTTTTCACATTGTTTTTGACTGATTACATTGGTTCAGCGATGGCTTGGAATAGTTCTTCCGAAGGGTCGGGATGGAAGCCTGCTTCTCAATAATGCTGTTAGCTTTTCAAACTTCCTCTTAATTCCACCCTGCTCGAGGTCGCCCTGATCTCAAAAAAAGTCGCTCCGAACATTCTCTGAGTGATATGCAGCCCACAGTTATGAGGAGCATCCAAATCTCATTGGAACTTCTACCCATAGATAGGGGTAGAAGTGAAGCCTGTAGTGACGCAAGTACGAGCTGTTATCAGGTTGGCTGGCTGCTACCCAAAAATAGACACCCCGGGGAGGCACACATACATATATTCCCGAGGAACTCCTTGTAGGTAAGAGATTCCCTCGAATTTAACTGGTTNAATCAATCGCATAGGCTTCAACCTTCCCTTTGGTATTGGCGAAGATTATCCGTTGGATAGTTCCCACGCACCATTCTTTTCAGCGATGGTGAAGTAGACTCGTCGGATTTTTCCTAATAAAATGTACTCGGCAAGACTCCCCCTCCCCCCTCCCCCATGAGAATTTCTTCGGGGACTTGACCGGCTCAGGAAAAGTGGATTCCGTGAAAAGTTTCTTTTTTAGAGCTTACATCATTTCCAATTGTTCGATGAACTGTGATTTACATTCTTTTTGAACTTAGTTTTTGTTTTGAATTCCTTTACAGATGTCTTTATCGAAAACCACGTGTGTTTCGTCTTTGGCCTCTGGCCTCTCGAGTCGATACCGCGTCCATGTAGTCGCTATCGGTGTTTGGGTGCAAAGTTTGTGTTTACCCCATTGTTTATGCTTTCAGGCTTTGATGAATGAGATCGGTATTGGGAAAATTTCTTCTAGCTTGAACCATCGAGTTATATTGATTAACTGATAAAAGGGCTCAGAGTCATGCGACTAATCCAAGAGATTTCCGGAAAATGCGGAGGAAGCTTAGATTTCAACCAATTATTCCATTGGAAAAATAACAATTTTTTGNAATTTTTTGATTTTCCAGCTTTGAACCATAGCTGCGTATATGTATCCGAACAATCTTTCAGGATACGCCATGTATGTGTTCCTTTCAAAAATTTGAGGACACTTCTCCTTCCTATGCCTTCAAACTGCAGAGTGGGTGATTCCTTTCCATGTTCGGAATCGGGGTTTCTCTTTTGGCGTTCGTTTAGGTGCTGTTCGATGCTGAGCAGTGAACCCTACCAGTTTTCTGCGTTGGTAGGTTGGATTTCAGGAGCTCTCACTATCTACTCCCCTACTCTCTACCACCGGCTTTGGTAATGGGAGGTGTTCAAAGGAACGAACAACCCAACCAGTTTTCTCTACTGTGGCCATCCTGGTCTGAATGTTCTAACCAATATAGACGGTTATTCCTTTGATTTGCAAGACGAAAGTGATTTTTGATCCGTCCCTTAGTTGGTAGGCAAGATAGAGGCAAGCAAAAAGGGTTTCTACGTTGAGTGCCTTCCGGTAGATGACTTCAAAGTGGCTATTTTGAGACGAGACATTACCAGCCCTGCCGAGTCCCTCAGTGTAAAGCCATTTTAAGCCTATGGGAGCTAATCTGAGCAAAGCCATTAGGGAGACATGCCTTTGAGAACACTGGATGTTTATTATCTTACCTATTTTAAGAACGTTTCGTGACATTAACTTAACGATTAGATCCAAAAAGCGTTTCTGTTCCATTCTGTAGCTGCTCCATGGCCATAAGAGCCGAAAACCATAAGCTTCTTGCCAAACAGCAATGTTCACATAAACTTTGAACCCATCAGTACTGCTGTGGTCGCTTCGATGCGAGCGAATGGAAGCATGTGTTGTTATTCTTGTTGTTTAATATTGTTTTCGCTTTTATGCGTACGTCAGTAAAAGGGAAGAATTGGTCTGCATAATTCAACGGTTGTATATACGGGATTGAATTGCATTATATAACATATTATTGGTTTGGATATTGCTGACGTAACTATTTATGGACAGTCCCCATGCATAGCATATGGCACTGCGAACTTTCAGTTTCCAGGCTGTATTCGCTAACTTCGTCGACACAAGGCGTTTCCCGTTTCTCCAACGAAAACCGATAATGTCAATCGATATCGATCGAAATCGAAGGATATATAATCCAATCATCTCATCTTTCTTGGAACTTATCGTTGTTCGCAATCTTTAAGTCATGGGTAGAACCAAGACTTCGTGATGAAACTCCGCCCACTTTGGCGCACGCTCCGCCCCAGTTTGAAACACGTCGTGCACATGGCCAGTGAGCACGCTCAATAAACTTACGCCCNCCCTCCCCATTCACCTCTTTACCTACCTTAAAGTATTTATGTTTACATATATACTTAGCTATTTATAGTTATGCAGTGAGGGAGAGGATGGGGCAAAGTAAGGTGACTGGAATGATATATGGCTAGTGAGAAAAAGGCTGCCAAGAGTGTTACAACGTGGTCCGGACTGGGACATCGTCTATACTGTCCAGTAAGATTAATTGCTCAAGATAACAGGCGATTGCTTCGCCTTCGTCTCATCACAGGAAATACGTCTTGCAAATGTGCAGGCGTTGTTTTTGTTATTGTTTTTTATTGATTGGTTAATGGTTTCTGGTTGTTTACTACAGAGCATGTTTTGTTCTTTTGGCAAGCGTTAATTCAACTACTCCTGACTCTCGCTTAAGCCCTATAATCCTAGTTTGGCTGGTAAGCTAGTCTTTTTAGTAATCCACCGCCTTACTATGATCCCCTGTAACATTCTTTTTGAGCGATTCGTATGAGGGTTGTTGCGAAAATGCGACAAACAAACCCATTCCATCATTTTACGATTGACAAACGTCGCCCCATTTATGTCATCGCCCTAGTACCTATTACTTTTTTGTTGTCATTCATGGATGGGGGGAACTCATTCAGTGAGAATTGATACGTCCTTAAGGGACCCCTTCTTAGGACACACATGCCCTTTTTATGGCTATTTGTTCTCGGAAGTGTTATAAATTCAACGACTGGTGGCTGGTGGCTTTGTCCTTACCCATGGTCACATGGTACCCCTGCTGATGAAGCATCCACCTATCAGAAGAAGGTGCTGCCCATTGGCTCATCTGGGCAAAGTGCAAATTCCCATGAAAAGATAACAATTACTAAAACATAACAAAAGATAAAACGTACGTCTTTAAAGTACATACTGGCTTGCCCTTTTGGCTCCATTCATATTTATAACCCCTGTGTGGCCTAAGCCAAGGGATTCAGGGTAAGTGATACTCACGGTTTCCCA